TTTTTCTTTGTGCCTGCAACCCCCATTAACTCAAACAGGGAATAGGCTCTTAAGTACCCTACATGCAGAAAAAATATATGCTTCTTTCTAAGATGACAACTTAATTTCATAGCTGGCATTGAACCTTCTAGCTTGGCCATAGGCTTTCGCTATCCTTCATAAACCTGGCCTTGGCAACAACAGTGAAGTTTCCAGTAAGCAGCCTGACTGGAACAGGCTGACTTCAGTGTCCTGGCGCTGGGATAGCATTTGATGGTCCCTTCATTCCCCATGACACCGTCTTTCAGGGTGACAGCGTATGCGCTTCATGCCAAGTCCCACACTAGGGAAGCTGATGCTATGGATTTCCCAGCTCATTTTGCTGGCTGTTGAAATACACCCCAACTGTTAATATTCATGTTTATTTTTAAGGGAATTAAGTGCTGTTAGAGTGGTAGCCCAGAGGAAAGAGCCTCTCTGGGGTCTAGTGCTAGTTAGTACTTTATTCTGCTTACCAGGCAGATGTCACTGAAGGAACTTTCCACAGGGCTCTTGTCAGAGCCTCCACGTAGCGTCAGTGTTCTGCTTCAGGTGGATGGTGGATCTGAAAAGGGTTCAGAAGAAGGGCTGGGACTATTCAGCATGTACAAGAGATGGAAGTAGGAATCTGTAAAGCAGGGAGGGAGGCTACAAACCGTTCACTGCTTCATCCTCCAGAAGAACTAGGGTCAGTAAACAAACCTGGTTGGAGCCAGGTTTAGATCCAACCAAAGGGTGTGCTGTGTTCCACCTGCAGCATGTAGTCCAGCCACAGAACTGGCTGCAGGATGTCGCGGTCAGGAAAAGTGTGTGAGGGGAGACACGGCAAACGGGTGGAAGGGAAGACCCGCTGCTGTTCACTGAATACAAACTCTGTCTGTCTCTGTGAGCTTCTGACCCACAACTGGTTGAGACATGAGATATGGGGGTGAAAGAAGTACGTGCCTGTCACGTTCCTCTGTTCTTCTCCAAGCATCTGCTTTTGGCCACGGCTGGAGGTGAAACAGAGAAAAGTTAGGCCTTTGGTTTGCCCCAGTATGTCTGGTTGATGTTCAGGGTGTAATGGAATAGGTGATTCTTCAGAACGTAACATAAGGGAATAGGGACTTTCAGAGCGGCTATGTATGCCAGAAATGAGACCAACCTGATCTCCCTGCCACTCCAGTCGTACTGCCACCATTGCTAACGGTGGACTGCTGAATTGGGATTTAGCATCGTTACATCTGTTTCATGTCAGCTGAACTAAAGCTTAAAGGTTTGTGTCGCTCAGCCTTTGCACACCCTTCAGACAGGAGGGACTACCAGTTAGAGCTGTATTCTGGTAGCAAATGCTGGGGCTGTTCAATTCCCACAGATTTCTGTTACTGCGTGCAGAGAGTTTTTATGGTATAGCACAAATGTTGGTGTAAGTACGTGCATTTAATCTGTGCCTAACTGCAAATGTCTAAGATAGTAACTCATTAAAAGATGTTATTTCTTTTCTTTCTTGATTTCAACAGAAGTGCCACATTTTTTTATTCTGACACTCCAACAACCCGCTTTGTTTTCAGTGCAATTCTTAGTGCTGGTTTTGCAAGGCTCAAAGAACTTGAGAGATCTTGGTTTAACTTTGCGCACTCAGGAAGCTTTGGGGATTTGGATAGAAAAATGCCTGGAATGTAGATCTCTTCAGCAGAAGTTGGGGTTTTTTTTTTTTGCTTATTGTATGAAATGATGATAAGGAATTCTGCTCCTGTTTTTGCTTGTGCAAGCTGCATGAATGATCCCCCTCACCTGAGGGCCGAGGTGTGAATTGCTGCAGGCAGACCGCAGGCCAGCGGGCCCTCTCATGATGTAAGTGGTTTGTTAAGGAGCCTGCAGGCTCTTGCTCAATGACTCCTCTGTCCACGTACAGCTTGGGAACAGCCATGGGGCCTTTATTTTCAGATGTGAAATCTGTCAGCAAAGTGAAGTCAGCTTAAATATCAGCTGAGGCTTGAGCTCCCTTTCAGTTTTTGTTGACTTTATCCCCTCCTGCTCCTTCCTGATCAAGTTTCTCTCTGCTTGAGTCAGACTTGCCGGCACTTAAAAGATTTTATTCTGCTTTTTGGTTGTGTGGATTTGTGTGTGGCAAAGTTCAGGTGCCCTTCACGTTCCCAGCTTCGACAGTGATCTGAAATGCTGAGGAGAGGGAGACCATTCTGCGTCTCTGAGACTCTGTAGTTGCTACAATTCAATTAGAAACCAGTAACAGTGCTTCCTGAACCAAAAACATGCCGTACTCTGGTGACACTGTGCAGACCCGCTGGACTTTTTTGTGTTGTACCTGCTGCTCCCAAGCTGAGGAATTCCAGCTGTGAATCAGCACCCTTTCTGTTCCCCAAATACGGAACAAGAATTACTCTTCACCAGAATTTGTCACCAAAATACAAGACGTAACTGATGGGGCACAGACAGGCAGGCAAGATGCATGGAAACAGTGAGTGTGTGGTAGCTGTGTGCTGAGCCTGTCCTGAGGGCAGGATGCTGAGGTCGTGCCACGTCTGCTGGCTGACTGCACAAACATCTGCAGGCTTGGGGTGAACCTCTGCTGTTACTGCCTGTCAGCGTTGAAGCGTTTTATGTATTGAGAGATGGAGGAGATTCTTGGCTGTGGCAAGGGATTTCAGATGTTGTGGCTTATTCAGAAAAAGAAAAGAAAAAGCAGAGTAAACTGAGGGGGAGAGGAAAGCTGGGGAAGGAGAGAGCAACTGTTCCTGCTTCTGGTTTTTGTCACTCTAAGGATGAAAGTTAGGAGCTCTATTGCTGTCTTTTTTTATCCTAGACTTAGTCATGCTTTAAATCCTATGATCAGCTGTCTTGACTGCTTTCTGTCCTATATGAACGCTTTTATTCTCTCTGTGATACCTTCAGTGGTTTTGAAAGTTGAAATAATTGTCCTGCTCCTCAAAGACCCAGAATGTTTAGACACTTGTAACTGAGAACTTCTTGGCTGTTGAACTGAATCAGTCTTAACATCTCACAGGTACTCTGTGCACCTACGTCCCCCTTTAGTGGCTGGTCAATAGAAGAGGCAGCAGCCGGGCAGCTCTCCATGCATCTGTCACTCCGCTCCATGCAGCGGTTGAAGACGCAGCGTTAGGGCTGAAGGTGCCAGGCTGGCTGCAGAATCCACTTCTGGGCTTCTTTCTGTCCTCTGGTGTGTGCCATCCGTGTACTCTGCTCTCTGGTTGACGCTGTCTTTGGAAATAACACTTGCTGTGCAATAAGCTATTAAGGAACAGGGTCTTACTTACCCCTTGGTAAGAAGCAATGTAGGATGCCCTCTTTTCCAGGTGAGGGCAATGGTGGAGTGTGCTGGAGAAGTGTTGGCAGCGTGGGTAGAACGGGCTGTCCCACACCCTGCCGAGGTGTGTGCAGATGCTCTCTGTGCTGGATTAGGTGGTGTTAAAAGACAACCACCTGCTTCTCTTGGAATTGTGCTGGAGAGATGCTGTGGAGAGGGAAGGATGTGTTGCAGTCCAGACAGAGTAGGGTGTCCACCTCCTTCATCTAACTGGAAAATACAAGTCACAATTTAGGATCTCTTAGTATGCTGAACTGTAACCTGGGAAATGCTTACCTCACGGCTGCAGTAATAGTGAATTATTGTTATCTGGTATCTCTGTTCCGAAACACAGCTAAACGTGAACAGTTTTCCTGGCTTGCTGGGCACTTGGCAGTCATTGTCTGTAATCCATGATCTTGCAGTGGTTGAGCTGAGGAAGGTGATCTCGATTTGACTTTGTTTCCTCCCTCCCATTTTCCAGAGAAAGTTCACTCCTGCGACCAGGAGAGGCAAAGCGCCCTGGAGGAGGCCAGGCAGAACCCCCGCGAGGGCATCGTCATCCCCGAGTGTGCTCCTGGAGGGCTCTACAAACCGGTGCAATGCCACCAGTCGACTGGGTACTGCTGGTGTGTCCTGGTGGACACGGGACGCCCCCTGCCCGGTACTTCTACTCGGTAAGAGCTGTAGGCCTGGTGGGCTGAGATTTAAAGAAACACTTGCTGTATCAGATAGTTTTCTACTTCTAGAGCAGTCAGCTCTGAGCTGCCTTCCTTAGCACTGCCATATGTGATGTTTCCCATTGAATGCTGCTATACAGCTCCCTCCCTGCAGGAGCTCACGCAGACAAACTGCTGCCCTTACTTTCTTCTGTGTTAAGTATTCATGCAAAGCAGCCTTTTTTTCTCTGGCTTGCAGCTTTTGGGTGGTAGCAGGAACAGGGCTTTGCTCAAGAGGACACATGAGCAGTGAAAAGAGAAGAGGTTTTGCTGCGTTATCCTCTGCTTTATACTTCCATGCTGCAGCCGCTTGGATCCAGTACAGATGTAGAAGGCTGCTTGGATGTGGATTGGTAGATTTTTTTTTTAAGCCAATGACAGATTTTTCTTTGTCACCTTGTATCTGGGGAATCTGTTCTCATTTGGGGTTTGGAAGCAAATTGTGGGTCTGGCAAGTTCTGAAAACGTGCCAGTAGGAGTTGGGACCTAAACTCTGCTAGACACAGTGATTCTGCAGAGCGTGGACAGCTTTGAGGAAGAGCTCAGCCTTTGCCCACAGGAATTGGAAGAGAGCCCTGTGCTCTTTGTACTGGACTTCAGAGTATGCTTTTCCTTCTCTCTCCACTTCTGTTGCTGACTGTCCATAAGCAGAAAAAATGCTTGAGAATAATATTTCCTCTGCACATTTATTTGTTTTCCCTGCAGAAAGCAGATAAGCCACAACCCTTTAGCAACCATCTGATGACACTAAAGCTGTATCACATAGCTTAGCATCTGCTGTTCTCCTTTTTCAGCTATGAGACCCCAGTGTGTGAGAGTGATGCCAGATCGAAGAGCACAGAGATTGATGATCCATTCAAGGACAGAGAACTCCCAGGTCAGAGAGGAACAAGATCCCGTCTCTGCTTTCTCCCCTTGTCTCACCCTGGGACTCAAGAGGCCAAGAATATTGTTGAGATGAGGGCTTTCCCTCACTGTGCATGTGTTACCGTGGGTTTTATTCTGTGTTATTTTGGATCACCTCCAGTTTCAGCAGTGAACTGGAAAAGGCTGGGAGTGTCTTGGGGGCTGTTTTATTGCCTGTCTGCCCTTCTTTGAAAACATGTCCGGGATCAGAATTTTCAGGAAAGAGACCTGGATGCCTGGAGGTCCTTTGGGGAATGAATAGTCTCAGCATTGAAAGTTTTGCTTCAAAGCCTGGCCAGAACAGGGTCCTTTCCATTTAGTAGGGCTTTTCAGCAGCTTGGTGCCCCCTGAGCAAGGGAAGAGGACACAGCTGGCAATGGTCCATGGACCAACTGCCTCCCTGACACTGCACGGACCAGGCAGGGCAGTGTTCCTGGTGCACTGAGGCCCCTTAACTAATGCTGACTCCTTAGTTAGCTGGACTTCATCCTTTATCATTAGGACCCACTTTATCTCTTCATTGCTGCTTGTTTTATATCCTTCTTTTCCCTCTTAACAGAGCAACAAGCCATAATTTACTGTTTGCCTACCGTGTATCTGTTAGGAAGACGTGCTGGGCATAGGTGTCTGTGCAGCTCTTAAAAATGAGCAGCCTAGCAGCCTGTGCTCTGGTTTTCCCTTTCTCTCCACCATGAGGGAGTGATAGACACCAAGAACTCTGCAGAAAAACCTGGTAGCTCCGGATCAACTTCATTTTCTCCCAGCCCTTTCTAGGGCGAGCATAAAGTGAGTTGTCCCAGAGCAGGTTAGCAAAGGAAATGAGATTTGTTCCAGATTTGCCTTCTGTGTATCCTAATTCTTCTTCTGCTGGGTCCTGGCCTTGGGCCCGGTAGCTTTCTGCTTAGTGACTTTGCTCTCAGCAGGGCTCACTTGTATGCAGCTCCTGATTTTCACAAGTCATGTAGAAATTTCCTATCTGCCTCCCTCTCACATTTGAATGAATTTGGCCAATTTGGGGGGGAGGGAAACCATCTAAATGATTGCAATAAGGCTTATTTCCTTAGGAAATCACGGCAAAATAGAATAACCTTACTTCCTTTCTTCCCCATTCCCTTCTCCCCTTGCTTTACTGCCTCTCCGTGCACTTTCCCCTGGCTCTCCAGGACTCCTCTGTGAAAACCCTTTGCAATCTGGGCTGTTTCTTTGAGACTTTCTTTCGGATCTCTCAGGAAGAGAGAATGGTTTTGTCTCCCTTCTCCCTTCCCTTCTGCACCGTAGCTGCAGCAGGAACTGCTTGATGCAGAAGAGGGCACATGGTGCTCTGTAGCTTTGTGGTCTGGTTCCAGCATCAGACTCCAGGAGAGTTTCCCTCTCGGCTCAAGCCACTTTTCTGTGCTTGAGTAAACTTTTAGCTCCATGCTTGGCTGCATTGGCTGGCATGATGGTTCCTGTCACTGAAAATGCCCTTGTCAATGGAGAGACTAGGAGATGGAGGATCTGGTCCTGGTTTGTCTGCCTGAGAGATGCTGTGCTGCATGATCTTTTGACCACGGCTCCACTTGCACTCAGGTCTGTAAGGGGGACCTCTTACCTCATTCCTCTTCTAGAGGTTTGCCCATTCTTCAGACTCTCAGCACTGCAGGCTCTCAGGCTGCTCCTTGGCTTGTGTGAGGAGACCCTGCAGAGGCCGATGTGGAGGAGACACGAGTCCAAATCCTTGCACACCTACACGTTCCCTCCTCACAAACTGTCTCATGGCCGCGGCCAGAAGAAAAGAAGAAGGAAGGAGACTGTTGCTCGCACACAGCAAATGGCAAGCTGCTAACTTCTGCAGACGGTGAGATGCCGAGGCCCCAGGGAGATGACTTCTAGCAAATGGGTTTTCAACCTTCTCGTTACTGCAACAAAAAGCTCCTTTAAGTGAGTGGTCTACGCTGGCTGCCGTAGCAGCTTACTCATTACAATGCTGACATTTTCTGGACCATGTGCCAAGCGAGTGCTGAGGGGTGTGCGTGTGTATAATGCACGTAATCCGGAGACAGGCGAGAGACTGTTGGGTAGCTGGTGCAGAGAACAGAGCCCGGGATACTGCAAAGGGGGCAGTTTTGTCACATCAATTTGCAAGCTGCTTTCAGCTGTCAGGGGATTACAGTAAGTTTCTGGTGCTCTATTTGGGGTGCACATGCTTCTCTGCTTGTCCAGGGAAAGCAGAAAGTGCTGATATGGCTGCGTGTTGCTAGGGGGATGCTGTTTTCTGATGTCTGCTGCCCTAATCGGATGCCTAAATAGTAGTGAATGGTGGTTCTGGGAAAGAGAAGAGGTGAGGGAGGTGGTGGTGACTCTTCTCTCATGTTGGAGAAGACTGTAGGATGGGATGAAGTTAAATATATTTGTTCCATGATGGGCTATTAGAGTATTAATGTGGTAGTAAATGAAGTATGCTTTTGCTCCGTTAAGAAGCAAGGAAGTGGCATAGATTGCCTCAAAAGGTGAGGAGCTGGAGATTTTTGTCTCAACTGTGTCTTAACAGGCTGTTAAGGATAGAAGGCTCTGTCAGCTTGTGGTTATGATGGTGGGGAACTGGACAGCCTGAGGACTAAGTAATGGAAATGGTTACCAAGCTTGTCTTCAGCCTGCTCTGTCCTGCCCGAGCCAGCAGTGACTGGAGGCGATTGCCACGTGTTGACTCAGTCTGACATATTTCCCATGAGCATGCAAAGAACTGAGTTACTGTGGTAGCTGCTGTGTGCCCGACGAGGACAGTGCCAGCAGCGGCGCTCGCCTTGGCCTGTGCTTTGGGAAGCTTTAAGCTGTCAGTTGGGACCTCAGAACTGCCATGCTTTCAGAGGAAGATGACCCAGGAGGTAATGAGTTGTTTTGTAAACTTCTCTGCAAGTGTCACCATGGGAACTCCCGTCTGCCAGGCGCTTCCAGCACATCCCTGTGGTTATGCTGGTAGGGAACTGGGAGAGGCCATAAAGCTAACCACACGGTCTTCCTGCCAGATATTGTTGGTGACCCTGTGTGTGTCTGGACAAGAGCTGCAGGACAAATTGCCACACAGAGAAGCCCACTGAGGGGTTCCTCTGCCTTTCCAAAGGAAGTGATAATGGCTGCTGTTACAGAAAAAGAAGGTTCTGGCTGATCCTTGCTGAACTGGGGTAGGATCCTGTGTGTTTTTGCGCTAAACCTCTTCTCTTCTTTCTACAGGCTGCCCAGAAGGGAAGAAAGTTGAATTTATTACCAGCTTACTTGATGCTCTGACTACGGACATGGTACAGGCCATCAACTCAGCAGCACCTACTGGGGGTGGGAGGTGAGTCCAGAAAGCACTTGGGCTCAACACCGCCAAGGTGACTGCAGAGCTCTGGGTGCCCCTGAGGTGGGGGTGGGAGGGAAAGGTGTTGCTCTGTGCCGATTCGAGTTCCTCTGGGTTGCTGTGAGAGGGGCTGAGGCTGCATCTGCCTCATCCTAGCCCTGCCTGCCGCCTCCTGCCCCTCCTCCCTGGCAGCTGCTCCACCATAAAGGTTAGCATAGCCCATTTGAAGTGTGAAATGAGAGCTCAGTGGGAGGAAGTGGCTTGTTCTTTTGTCCCTTGGTGCATGAGAAGCCCTAATAAAATGCAAATGGGTGGAAGAAGGCCGTGTGGCCTAGTGGCTACCACGGGGAGTGAAGAATGCAAACTGAATTCTTGGCAGCACCAGTGCCATGGTTTTGCTGTGGGACCGGAGCCAGCCTGCTGATGGGGACAGGAGCTGTTTTTCATGGCCCTCCCCTCTGCCCAGCTGCCTGTTCATCCCCCTTGGAAGGAGCAGCAGGTCAAGCCTGTTAGAAGAGGTGGGCAGAAGTCTTGAGTTTCTGGGGAACTGGAGAAAAGCTGAGGTCTTGTCTCCCCCTTCTGCTTGATAGCAGCAAATCCCCTTAGTGCAGCAGCTGCAGTGCTGCAGCCGGACAGGCCATGAGACCGGACTGCGATGGATGTAACAGAAGTTGCTGTGCAGCCCCAGCCAGGCAAAGCTGCTGTGGTTCTGCATTCCCCTCGCTGCAAACAGAGTCAGTGCTGATGCCACAACGAATACTGCGCTCGTGTTCGTAGGGGTGTAGAGATGAAAGAGGTGCCTCTGTGCATGTGTCACTTCCATGGGTTTTGCTCCAATGTGTTGAGAGTGATGTTGATCCCTTGCTTTCCTCTTTCAAAATGTAGAAGGAAGCAGTGCTGTCTTTAGCTACTCAAGACAAAAATCTTCCTGGGTGGCACCTCTGTGCCTCTTGGTTTCGGTATGGATTGCTTGTGAACCCATATGGTTTTAACTTCACATTTGGACCTTACAAATCAGGCCAGGGGCTGAGTGCCTGCATGCCAAATATTCTATAACCCATCAAATTAGCAGTATAAGCCTAGCATGTCTGTATTCTTATAAACAGGATGAAAAATGCCCCAAGGATGGGAAATAAGTCGTTCTCTCCCAGCCAGAAGCATTCCAATCTCAATTCTGTCTAATTTGCATGGTTCAAATGCAGTGGGCAGGGGTGGCAGGAAGCCCTGGAGAGTATTTGATATTTATTTGGCATCTTTGGCACTGGGACTGAAACCCAGCCGGTGTAATCATCACTCTTTAAATAAAGCTTAATATAAACCAATGTTGTAGGGACCAGAGATGTATGTCCCCACTGCAGTTCTATAAACCAGCATGCTTGCTTCCTCATGTTCCCCAAGCTTTGTATGTTTCTCAGCTTTCAATAGAGGCCTTTCTGGTAGAATTTTTCCCTGCCCAGCTCTTCACGCAGTCATCACGTTGATTTATTTTCAGCTCTGGTGTTGGCAGCCCAGTTGCAAAGGGAAAAAGAAATCTTTTAGCAGGCTGTCCTTTGTAAGGTGAAAGGCTGCTACCTCCCAAATACTCTGCCCTCCACAGCCACGACTAAATGCAGGAAACTGCTCTGGTGTCACCTTCCATGGGCATCAGCAAAGCTAAGCTTATACCTTAAAGAACACGTATGGAGCTTTTCCATCCCACCATGCCATGATGGGGCCATTTGTTTTGCAAAGAAAAGCATTTCAAGGGATTTTAGGTACTATAAATGAAAACTGAATCAGTACAGCTTTCATTTCATGTGAGTTTGGTTGGGAAGCTGTCTCTGCAGCGAGTCCTGCTTTCCAGGTTTCCCAAGGGTAGAAATGTCCTGAGTCCTCTCTTCAGGAATACCTGAAATTGTCTGGGTGACCTAACTTCACTTTGGCACTGGAAAGGAAAGCTCTTTACCAAGACAAAGGAGATTTTTTTACCTATGGGGTAAATTATAGGGGTAATTAATTTCCAACCTTAACAACCAGCAAAATACTGGATTTATGACAGTGGTTTTCCTGTATCTCCCTGAACCAGGTTTGCTGAGAAGGTCATGTTGAGAAAAAAAAAGCTAGAGATCTGGCTGTCTGATTTCTATTGATGTCAGTCACATCAGTTTTCTTTCTTGTGAGGCAAGCTTCACTTATTGCAGGCTCTTCTCCCTCTTTGCTCTAACGACGGCAGCACAGGTTCTGTATTGAAACGTGCACTGGTTCCCCCTGCAGCCTCCTCCTTTCTGTTCCTTTGCAGTGTTCAGCATTTCATCCTCCTGGGCCTTTTTTAGAGTTTGAACAAATCCATCCAAGGTAAATTTTTAATGTATCGCCAGCAAAGCTTATGGCTGTTGCAAGGGGCAGGCCAGAGAAACAGCAAGCTATATCCCCTTGTCAGTTGGCCCCATGTATTGTCCTGTGTGTTTCCATCTATCAGGGAAGCAGCAAGTAGGAGTTTTAGGAAAGCTGTGGAGTATTCCTGTTTCTCTGTGGCAGCAGAGAGATGACACTGGCATACAATGTGCATCCTTAGGAGCAACATGAAAATATAGGACCAAATGCAGAGAAGCCTAACAGTGAGTCTTGAGGAGCTCAGCCTTCCTTAAGGTATTAAAAGAGGGGAGGGGGGGAAGGTTGAAAGATGATTTTGTATAATCTAAGTATCTCCACAGGGTCAAAAGCTCTGCAGGCTCTGTAGTCTAGCAGGGAAGAACATGATTAGTTGAATATAAACAGGCGTGATCACAATTCCTTTAAAGCGAGGGCAATTCTAAGGGAGAATGCAGTCATGAGGGAGGTGACAGATTCACTCTCTCTACGGCTTTCATCTTAGGCCCGATGCCTTTCAGAAAGACTTGCTTCAGTCAAAGCCCAGTTATGGTCCTAAGAGTAATTTGATTCACGTTCTGCGAGTACGATACACAGGAAATCAGATTAGATGACCCTGCGGCCTTTAGTCTGAATCTGGGTATGTGGAGTGGAAACTTCTTGCAGTTGCTGAGTGTCTTAATCTTCAAGACTCCACCTATTGATGCTGCCAAGCTATCTTTGGCCTTGCAATTAATGCCTGTATTAGATTTTAGTTTAGAAGGGAGGAGCATGGGGAGAAATGATAGAGATCTGCATTTAACATAGTACTTATTGCTGTGCTAAATTGCACGCTTTACACTTGGCACACACAGAACCAACCTGGTAGCAGCAGAGTGAGGCTATGCAACTTGGATTGCTGCAGGCCATGTAAGTAAAACCTGATAAGACCTTTTTTTTTATTGGGCATGCTTAAAACAACCTCGTAATCCCTTATAGGTCTTGTCTCGTTTAAGCAAGTTCAAAGCTATTGACTTTAATTGAGTTACTCTTGCTTTACAATAATGTAAATGAGACGAGAACTTCCCTTCCTCGTGGCCCTTGTTTATATTACAGCAAAAGAGCCAAGCAGGCTTCATTTAGACTTTCGAAACAGAAAATCTCTGGTAAAATTCAGTCTTAATTTCAAGTTTATGTAGTAACTCAAAGGCACATCTTGTTACTGTATGTTTTCAAAGTAATTAAGGGAGTGCTTGTAGGAAATTGGTTTATTAACCAGTGTTTGGTATCCTTTTTGAAAAGACACAGTTTAAATTGTTCCTGTACAAATCCTGTATAATAGGAGCAGCATGTTTTAAAATTTAGACTTTGCTTTAGTATGTTTTAGTCTCTTTTCTAATTCAGACATATTCATATCACAGAGAGCCTCAACTGAAATAAACCAAAAGGGGATCCTGTCCTGAGTTTTCCTGGTCTGAGAAACTCTCTTTGGTCCCAGCCCATTCAGAGATGAATTTGAGTGGCCAAAATGAGTGCAGTATGGCTTGCTACAGTATCACCAAAAATATTAATGCCCTGTGGAACTTTGGGTTAAAAGGGCTGCTTACAACAGCCCCCCTCACCATGTAACACAGCAGCCATGGCCCTTCATGTTAAGCTGCTGATTATTCCCCATGTAATAGCCCTAAAGTACTTCAGAGTATTGTCCCCAAGGTTCCCTTTCGTGCTGTAGTTGAGCAGTTTGAAGCAGGCAAGCACAGCTCAGCACATCTCTGGGGTGTTCTGGAGCCAAGCCATGTTTTAATAAAGATTGACGCTTTCAAACAGCGTGAGGAAGTTAATGCCCAACTCCTGTTGCATTTCAATTGAAGTTGGATACCAACTCCTCTTTGTGCTCCTATGGAAATTCTAGCCTAATTAAAGATCCAGCAGCATTCATGTAAGAGGAGGGTCTTGGAACAGCCAGTGAGGAGTGAAGGGTGAAGGATTTTTAAACCTCCTAAAGCATTTATCCCACAGTCTTCAGAAGAGTTGTGTTCACAGTAATGTTTCATACACAGCTGAGCCAGAGGAGAAGAAGAAACTGGGCCTGTAATAGGAAGATAACTTGAGTTTCAACTGTAGAGGAATTATGCATTCGCCGTAGTGAATTTGGACAGTGTAGCACCTTTTTGTTTAATCTGAACACAGCTTACTTTTTGTTGGCTCCTTGATTCTTTTTCTACAGGAAAGGGAGAATAATAAAACAAATACATGATCCTTTTGCAATTCCATTAGAGTAATCCTCTTTGATCCGAGCCGTGTTCCACCGTTACAGCTTTTAACTTCAGAACAGCCAGCAACAAAAGGAGACTGAGCAGCAGAAGCAGAGCAAGAACAATTCTGCAGTTTACCTCGGCTTGTTAAGCTCTTGCCGCTTTCCACCACTCCCTGCAGGCATCTTGGTGGACATCACCACTGCCTTGATGGGTCAGTCCTGTCACTTCTGTGGGTTCACTCTCATTTGTGCTTCGTTCAGTAACAGCACCAAGCAAGGTTTCACAGAATCCCAGACCGTTAGGGATTGGAAGGGACCTCCAAAGCTCATCCAGTCCAATCCCCCTGCCGGAGCAGGAACACCCAGATGAGGTTACACAGGAAGGCGTCCAGGCGGGTTTTGAATGTCTGCAGAGAAGGAGACTCCACAACCTCTCTGGGCAGCCTGGGCCAGGGCTCTGTCACCCTCACTGAGAAGAAGTTTCTTCTCCAATTGAAGTGGAACCTCCTGTGTTCCAGTTTGTGTCCGTTACCCCTTGTCCTATCATTGTTTGTCACCGAGAAGAGCCTGGCTCCATCCTCGTGACACTCACCCTTTAAATATTTATAAACATGAATGAGGTCTCCCCTCAGTCTCCTCTTCTGCAAACTAAAGAGACCCATACATCCTTGCAAAATATTTCCAAGTGATAGAAACTTTAAGTTATGAGTTCTGTAGATATCCTGACCACAGACATACCTTGTGTGTTAGGAGTGCAAGCTGGACAGGTTTTTTTCCCTACTCTTACCTATGCTAGCAGCTTCTTGTCCATCAGTGTCTTTTCATCCTTGAATAGCTGGTTTATGGTCTCTGCAGTGCAGAGTTAGGTGATGTTAGGCTGCTCTTATTCCCCTTTCTCTCTCCTGCCTCAGCTGCTATTGTTGCTACATAAATTTTGTATTACAAAATAATAGGTTTTCTAAAGGTCTTCAGACAGGTGATCGTCTGCTAGGTACTTCAGAGATTACAGCCTTGCTTTCTCTCCACGTGGTGGTTTATACTGGGGTTTTCTGTCACTACAACAGTACTGTGGGTCCGTGCAGTGGGATGCAGTGGAGCTGCAAGCGTTCAGAGACTCAAGGATCAGCTTTGGTAGGAACGGACTTCAGTTTGCTCAGTAAAATCTAGTGGGGCGTATGGCACTTTGACAGCACAGTCCTACGGAGGATAACCTGACTGCAGGCTGTACGTGGTTCTGTATGTGTGTAATGTCTGACACTTGCTGCTTTTGTATACTTTACCTACACACCTCCCCTTCTTCCTACTGAGTTAGCTCCTCCTTTCTTGCAAGGGGCCTCAAGGGCTGGAAAGCATTACAGACTGCATGCAAAGTGCATATTCAGCTGACTGATGTTTGGGCATAGTCTTCTCTCTCAGCTCCAGAATTCAGTGCATGCCCATGTTTCTTTGTAGCCTTTCTGCCTGCACCCCAGTTACAGCAGATGATATGAAGGTGCTCTGTGGAAGTGTCTGTCAACTGGAAACCAGTATGGTTAAAAGTAACAGTACCTTAACCCACACATCTCCAAGCATAAGCCACCTAAGAAATAAGTATTCTTCTCCTGTGCAGAGGACATTACACAGGAGGAGGAGCAAAAGCCTGCTTAGAGAAGAGTATATTCTTGATGCCAACAAATTAGTAAGAAAGCTGAGGCAGCGTGTTCCCTGTCCTGGGCTGTTAATGACAGACCACGCTTCTCTGCACCATTTGACTGCAGGTGGGCATAATGGAGCTAAACTTGCTGGCTCGTGTATGGAACCGATCCAGCAATAGCAGGTTGGATTTGGAAAAATCATCTTGCACAGAGCTGTTTGCTTCCCCAGCCCTCATTCTTTAGGGCTGATGGTTTTCCCATAGAACGCTAAAGCAGAACAATTAGGAAGAAAAGTAAGTAGAGCTGTAATGGAGTCAACACGAGAAGACTGAGAAGGCTTTCTGCATTTTGGTAATGTCTCTTTACTAGGTCTTACAAAGCTGCTACAGCAGTGGAGTGAGAGACTGGAATTCAGTGGATTTTTGTGTGACTTGTGTTAGAGCAAGAGATGTTGTTTTGCTGGGAGTTGAGAGGGTACAGAGCAGCATTGTTCTCTCTTGGTTTTTCTGATTCCTTTATGGTCTGAATGAGTAGAGAGGCAGCCTGACAAACAAAGTTTGCATCTGAGGGTTGATTTACCTCTCTTGTAACAAAAATGGTGAGCCAATAGAGGGAAATTCCCATGGAATGGTCCTGCAAAGTGTGTTCTTGCAGGGCAGTTGAGTCCCCAGTTTTATTTCGGCTGACCTTGCAGGTATGGTTGTTGTCACGGCACGCCATCAAAGCAAGGCGAGTAGCCATGCTGTGAAGTTGCATCACTTCATGTTTTCTGGACAGTGCATAAGTGTCTTGCATAGGCAGCCATCAGAGTCAAGAGAGTCAGATACAGTGCTGTAACCTCAGCCTTCTTTAGTGTACCATGAAGTTTCATGAGCCAGGAGGATATGGCTGCACCGAGATGATGTGGATCCTTCCTGTGCTGGGGTTCTGGACCATCAGCAGAAAGGGCAGACAACCAACTCAGGAACTGCAGTCCTGCTAAGCCAGCCAACAGGAGGTGGTAAAAAGGCAGAAATGGCCATATCCTCATTCCTCCTACGATCACAGCAGTTAAACTAATTCCCTTTTGCTCCATTAACGTGCTGCAGTTTTCAGCATGAGCTCTTAGCGTGTTTGTAATGGCAAAGATTGACGTATCATCACCTCCTGAGTCAACGTGTTCGTATTAGCCTGTGGATTTCTCTTATTTTCTTTATTGAAGTGCTAAAGAGAGCTATATTGCCTCTCGTGGTAACTCGTAAGAGCTCCTTTTTGGTGTGCCTCTGAAAAAGAGGGACTTTTAAGTCCTGCTTCTGAGTGTCTCTTCAGCAGGCAGAGAGAAGATTGCAGTCCTGCCTGTTGTCTTTCTGCTGTTGGTTCCAAGATGCTCTGCTATTTTCTCCATTTCTGTGTCTCCAGCTGTAGGCCTTCAGGAAAGAAAGAGCAGGCCGAGGTGTGTACAAGGGCAATCTCACATGCAAAAGCTCAGGTTTTATTCCTCTGTCTCAGAGTAATAAAGCAGAATATTGTCCCTTGCAATGCAGAATTTCCCCGAAGCTGTTGGAAACACGCTAGTCTTCAAATGACAGCCAGCTCACTTCCCAAAGGGAGGGAGGCCAATGGCTGTGTTCATAAATGTCATCAAAACAAGCCACAGGATGTGTTTTTATTCTCTCCTGTCATCCTGGTCTTCACATACAGGTTCAAGGCTCTGAAAAATCCAGGCACTCCCTTAGCTTCCTGGGGAGGTTTTTGCCATTTCTGCTTGTCCATAGGTGGCTCCAGGGGCTCGCCATGTGTTTTGGCTCCCAAAACTAAGCCAGACTTACTCCCAACCTTTTCTTCCTCCCCTGCAGTGTTTATCCCACTGTACATTGACCAGATGCTGTGACTGAACGCCAGGCTGCTGCTCAGCTAAGAATTAAATGATGAAGAAGATAGTTCCTTGGGAAAAAATGTTGTGCAGTTTATTTGCCTCTCCCTACTGTGTATGTTTACCTGTTGCAAGGATCTGGATGTTTCTGGGTAGGAGCTGCCCTTCTAAACTGTATCCTCATTTGTAAAAGCTATTGGAGAAGGTTAACGGGGATCACTGTTCTCCACCTTAGCTCCAGTGCTTGCTTTCTGCATGTTGTAGACTCCCATTCACTAGTGATTTAAATTACCATGCAGCAGGGCAAGGTTTTTTATTTGTCAGACTCTGTAGGTGCATTTTAGAGGCAAAACTGGTCATACTGGAAGGTCAAGAGAATTTTCTCCCTTCTAGATCCCAACAAAGAAATTTGGAGTGCTCATTTAAATATATATCCTACCAGTTTCTGAAGCAGGGTCGGTGACAGCCTTAAAGTGCATTTTATAAGGTACCAGGGTTCATATTTCCCCATCAGCTCGAGTGCCCCAAACTCACACCAGAATCTGGCTGCCTGCAGCATGCAACTGTCCCTCTCTCTGTGCTGGGGAAGGGATTTAAGCAGCAGCTGGAAATGTCTCCTGGAATAAGTCAGAGCAAGCAGTGCCAGTGTAGCAGGTCTGAGTACCTATCCTCTGATTTCCAAGCACTGAAATGCTTTATTACTGGGAGGAAAAAGGCTCAAGTCTCAGCCTCATTTCAGCTTTCTCTGTTGGCACACTCGTCACATGGAGAAAAGACAGACTAGCTTTGTGCCGTTTTTAAAGAATTGTTCTTCAGGAAGGGTTTCTTCCCTGGTTCTCGGTATCACTGAGGAATAAGCCCTTTCCCTCTGGTGCTGCGGAGCACCAGGCAGCGGTTAAATCGTGTGACAGTGCCATTCATTGACGGCTTGACATTGAACGGCAGCGTCTTCTATTCCTCCATCTTCAGTTGTTGCTTCTCCTCCTCCTCCTTTTCTCTGGTGTCGTTTGCTGTTGTCCACAGAAAGAAAACGTGAGCCAAATAACGTCAAACTTGTAATATCACGATGAGTAAGAAATGAAGCAAACTGAAGCTGCCAGTTCCGTAGTATTGCTTTTAATGGATTTGTGGTGCTTGTCTGCTGTGGAATTCTTGTGTGTAAATCACCCATGTGAAAAGCATTAAATATGCTGAAAATACAGCACAGGAGTTCAGACCCTATAAATAGATACAGCAAGAATGCTGCATCTTGCCAAGGACATTTTCAAACATTGAATGGGTCTTGCATTAAATGAATTTATTCCCTTTCTGAAGTCTAGATGTTGCTATCACAAACTATCGTGAGAGCTCATGGCTCCTCTGGTAACTTGAATGGGAGCCCAAGGGTCAAAAGGACCATGGAGACCCCTTGGCCTCTCAAGGGGATTCAGTCCTTCTGGGATTAGGCAGGGTTTCAGCAACTGGTGTGAGGATAACCAGAGCTACTGAGGGTATCAACCTCCAGGAATCTATTGGCACCACTTGTTAATGCTAAAGGACGTTTTTAGCAAAAGTTCATCTCTCTCAAAAGAGCCCAGCTAAAAGGTGGAGGTTGTAAGACCTGTGTACTTTGCCTGGCTTAAACATGGCATAGTGCATGTCTGACTCGGTGAGCAGCTCTGGCTCCTCAGCACCCACTTGTGGGGGGGGCTTTGCTTCCTCTGTTCCAGGTTTTCTGAGCCAGACCCCAGCCACACGTTGGAGGAGCGAGTGGTCCACTGGTACTTCAGCCAGCTGGACAACAACAGCAGCAACGACATCAACAAGCGGGAGCTGAAGCCTTTCAAGCGTTACGTGAAGAAGAAAGCCAAGCCCAAGAAATGTGCCCGCCGTTTCACTGACTACTGCGACCTCAACAAGGACAAGTCAATCTCGCTTCAGGAGCTGAAGGGGTGCTTGGGAGTCAGCAAGGAAGGAGGTGAGTGCCTTTCCTTCCCCATTGCGTGAGAATGGAAGACTGACGTGGAGCTGCAGCAAACTCAGGAATCCATGGAGTTAAGACAAACTCGGGAATCTGTTTCTCCCAGGTGATTCAGGAGTGCCACAGTTTGTGTGAGAAAGTGAGTGGGATTGATACCCTGCCGTGCAAATGTAGTTGGTTATTTGTGTTACAGCTCTCTTTTAAAGCCCTTCTCGCAGACCTTTGTGCTAAGCACTATAGGGGTACAGGGCAAACAGATGAGCCTTGCCCAGAACCCTGCCTGTAGTGTAAAATTCCTTGGAAACTGTAGTTCAGATCAGGTCCCTCCTGAGTAATACACTGCTAACAATATTCTGTTGTCTCAACCAGGTAGGTTGGATGATGTACGAGCCAGCACAGACCCAGTCCTTCTCCACAGACCCCGTTGACTAAGAGAAACAATATTTATTTTCATTGCTAAATACAGCATGCAGGAAAGTGGATGACACAGAGCAGCTCGGAGAGCGCAGGGATGTACTGCTGCCCCTTTTCAGATTTAAATTGCATTGCAAGAGTGGGAGAGAAAGAAGGCAATATGAATAACATGTTTTCCTTTCTGTTTTGTGCCTGAGCAACCAACCCACCTTCCTGCCTTCCTTTTCTTCCTCTTTCATCTTCACCTCATCTTCTGTTGGGACCTGCACCAAAGGGATATTTTTGGAAATTTTATGAATTGAAACTGTTCAACCCAAATTCAATAATTATCAGTCATTCTTGACCATGGGCAGACTTGCTTGGCAGGAGAAGGCAAACAGGGAGATTCCAGGGGACTAATTTCCTGTGCAGGTGTTTTGGCCGTGTGGACAGCTCTTGTTATAACTGCCATGCCAAGCTGGGTAGCTTGCTTTCTCCAGACTAAACCTTCCTTTAGTTCTTGCCTCAGGTTTAGCATGAGTGGGAAGGGAGTTGGTGCATTTGGGTGTTGGGAAGTTGCCTTTTCTAGGTGCTTTGCAAACATCTTAGTTCTCATAATAAGCCTGTTGCATTACTCATCAGCTGCGAGAAGCATTCAGCTTTCCCAGCTCAGTGGAAGTTTTTTTCTTAGTCATCAGTACCTTACTGAGAAATTACATACCAAAATAGCGACTCTGTTCCTTAATTTTATTACTTTCTCAATAAGATGAGTATGCCAAATGAGTTTTATTGCTGTTTGGTCTGGAATAAGACTCTGGAACCTGCTGCCTTGGCCAACCTACTGTTCAAAATTTAGTTTATGGAAGATGGGGGGGAAGGAGAGAAGGAAGAAAACATGAATTTTTGAGCCCGAGTGAAGGTTTCTTCCCTTGCATGAAGACAGGATTGTGTCCAAAAAGTGTCTCTGGCTTTGTTTTATCATATGGTTCCACATATCTACTAAAGGCCTGATAGGCTTTGAGTATCAAAGATAAATGGGTAAGTTATGTGGAAGGAGGACTGAGGTGGGGCTGAAGGATGGTGAGGGCTGTAAAGCAGTGGGGAGGGTAGCACAGTGATCAGGTGCTAATGTGTAAGAGAGAATTGAGGGGGAGTATTCTAGAGGTGCAGTAAACGGGTTTGTGATGAATCTTTTTTAAGAAGTCATGAATCTGTGAGGTGGTAGATGATGTGTTTGCTCTGCTTTTGGTTCACAAGAACTTCTAAATTAAGAAACAGCCAGTAGCTTACAAAATCACAGAATATCAGGAGTTGGAAGG